ACTCCATTTTTTGGGTAGCTACTTTTTGTTTCACTTTCACATGATCCTTAACATTAAATCCCTGGCTTCATAAGAATTGGAGTTAGCTGTACCTTTTTTTGTATTTTTGGTCTTTTTTAGTTACTTTGTCTTTTTTGTTTCTGCTTTTGGCGTAGTATTTTGGTAAAATATGAACATTTTAATGAGACTGTACTTTTGGCAGTACTATGAAATGGACAATCTCTAGGCAGAATAGTACAGTATTCCAAATCGTGTGCCGTAAGCCTAATTTTACTATCTTCACTCTCCGGTATATTCATATTTGTCGGCACAATTAGCCATTTCTACTCAATCAGGAATTTATAGTTTGGAAACTGACCTATTTTCTTGTTAAATGCTTGTTTGTACTTCATGTAGAAAATACTTGCCCTTGAAACGGAAACAGAAGAATATAAAAGTAAACTTGGAAAGAAAGATCAAGAAATCCAGGTCCTGAAAGATGAGTTAAGGAGTAGAAGCAAAAATACAGATACTGCTTCTCTACGTGGTCAACTAGAAGAGAAAACAAAAGAAGTGGCTAAACGGGAGCAGCTACTGAATTCCCTCTCAGAAGAGGTAGAATGGCAGAAAAATCATATATCTGCAGTTTCTGCAAGATGTACAGATCTTGAAAGCAGAGCCGGTAATGTCCAGATCTCCCAGGTGAGTTTATAAAAATATGTGTCAACTTACTTAACCATTTTCCTTATAATGCTGTTTGGAAGTTATTTGGGACTGAACTCCTTTTGAACTCTTTAACCTTGGATGAGGTAGCACTTGCCCATTTAAGAGTGGTGTGCGATCTAGGGGTCTTCCTGAACCCCCACCTCCTGTTTGATGAGGAAGGCCTTTGCATCGTTTCATTTGGTGTACCAGTTATGCCCTTCAGACAGTCATTTATGCCCTAATCATGCTGAAAATTGCTTCTCTGGACATCACTCTGTTAAAACCCAAGTTGATGAACAGATTGTAAATTTGATTCTACTGACTTGATTAGCTATGAGATATTATGGAAAAGGATTACAGAGGTACCACTTACTGAAGGTAGATGGCAGTAGAGTACCAGTCCTATAAAGTTTGAAACTTAAAATACCAAATGCCACAGTGGTAAGTCAGGTGCTTGTTTAAATCACAAAGTATATTGATAAGACACTTGGTAATTGAAACATATCAGCCATTATGCAAAACAATAAGTGCACTTAAACTCAAATAGATACATGCTGGTTGTATAGATTTGGTATGTATTACTCTCTTTTGTCCTGAAGCTATAATGTACAAAGTTTTAAAATAATAGATTGTAGTCAAGATAATCTGATACTTATCCAAATAATTTTAGAGCTTCTGTCATCTTTTGCCAAATATGTGAAACTTTCCTATTTGCAGGTAGCTCAGTAGATTCTGTTCTGGAATTTATTAAAGTCTCATTTGAGTCAAAACTCAACTCATGATGATTACATAGACAAAACCATGTTGGTGGGGTTGTTTTTTGTTTTTTGTTTGCAAAGATACAGAAGCCATTTGCTATTGTCTTCTGCTGACCATGTTTTCCTTTCTTTTTTTTAAATTCCAGATGAGAGTTGTGGGATTTTATGGTGGTCTCCCATATAAATATAACTAGGTCCAATCCTGCTTAGCATTTTTTAAATTAGCCATGTGCTTCTTATCTGTTCTAATCTGTACTGCACTGCAGAAGGAAATATTTAGTAGAAATGTGATACGTAGAATCTAGAATGCTTCACTGGTTTGAAAAATTACAGAAGTCCAATGCTTGCAAGGCATAATGTGGCAGTTCTTGCTCCTATCTTGAACATACAGACATGTGCTTTCAGTTAATGGAATTGAACTGTTTCGCTATTTCTGTTTTTAACAGGAGAAGACTGCACACTGTCCTGGAACAACAGTCAACACACATGAAATTGAAATTCAGCTGAAAGATGTAAGGCATTTTATCAAATACATTGTATGTTTTATTTAAGGAATAAAATAAAATAAAATAAAAAATATAGACAATGTAGAATAATCCTGTACTGGCCTGTCTGGAGCTAACTGTCACTGGTTTCCCAAAGAAGAGTACATGGGAATATAGCTGTAATACAGTAAGTAATAGGGAGATTAGGATCAAATACAAAATTTAGTTTTTCTTAGTAATCAGTCAAAGATCTGTAGCTTTCTAGAGACAGGGCATGAAAGCAGAAGCTGTTGTCCCTTGTTCACCCTTGATTTCAAATAAAAATAACCAATTCATCTATTTTACATTTAGACAGAAATGATTTTTAAAGGACTGACACAGTATAGGTAGTCCTTGCTTAATGACCACAATTGGGACCAGAATTTAAGTCACTAAGCAGTGCGGTCATAAATGAATCATCATGTGACCGGACCTGATTTTACAACTTTTTTTGTGGGGGTTGTTAAACAAATCATCGCAGTCATTAAGTAAATCACTGTGGTCATTAAGCAAATCATGCAGTTGTTAAGTGAATCACATGGTTCCCCCATTGACTTTGCTTGCTGGAACCAGCAGAAAGTTGCCTCGCCTAACGACCAGGGCATTCACTTAACAATGGCAACCGGGATTGCCAGGATTGCGGTCACTAAGCGAAGTGATCATGTGATCATTTGCTTAATGACTGCATCACTTAGCAACCTAAATTCTGGTCCCAGTTGTGGTGGTTAAATGAGGACTACCTGTATATGATTATATTACCCTGTAGAATAGTGGTTTTGCATTGGTTCAAATATTGTGTTGAGGCAGATTCAAATCTCTGCTCAGTTTCTTCATTCACAGAGGAGGCAGGAACTGAATTTAGTTCCATGGACTCCATGAAAGTAAGCTAATTATAAAATGCTATGTAACAAAAGCTAATAACTTCTGCTGGTTTATGCCATAACTTCATAAGCTCAGCATTATACTATATATGAGCCACTATCAGTAAATTTTAAAACATGTTAGTTGGAAAAAGTGCTATCAGACTCCTTATTTTTTGCTACCATAGGGTAACATGGATCTTCTCCAGTGTCATCAGTAAATCCTGCTTTTATGTTCAGTGTTTTGGAATGTATCCATTCAAAGAGCAGCACATTAACTCAGTCAAACTTCATGAAACATATAGATTAAATTGTAATTTCTCAATTCAAACATTAATGTATTTGTCTGTAGGCAGAACACTGATCTGGTGTGTTGCCACTCCCCCTTATTAGATGCTGCTGTAGTTCAGTTACACAAATAGCATTTGTTCAGCATTTAACACTGTGCACCTGACCTGCATCTGAACATTTGCAATATTTATCTGCTTTTCTGAATAAAACAAACAAATTGGAGGTATGGCAGGCAGCCAAAATCTCACTTCCCATTCCTAGGTGGAAAAGAGGGTTAAGACCATGTTGAAAGACCAACGTGGGCTTTTTGATTATACATTGGCCACTTTTGCTATTAAATGGCACATCCAGTTCCGCAGCAATTAAGAATGGATGATTAAACAAAAATGCAGAGTATTCAATTTGCTTACTTCAAACAAGGCCAGGGACTGAAAGCCTATAACTTTGTTAGATTACATCTGTTAAATATTGCTATCTTGTCTATATCTCTGAACACTCACTCATTTAAGGAAAATATAAAGAGGACCGTGAAAATAGTACTCTGAGCTAGGAAGAAAGTGCCTTAAATTCCATTAACAGCAACCCTTATGTCTCATGAAAACTATTGTTAAATTCAAAAACTGCTTTAGTATGATACAAAGGATGGCTGTTTAAACAAAAGTTTCCATTGAGCTATTGGAAGCCTTCTGAATGGGTTCAAATAAAGTTAAAGAAGTGAATATACCTGTTAAATTATAGTTTGATCTACATATGTTATTGTAAGCTTTTTATTTGTGAAGGAATACGAAATTTCTTGTCAGAGTTTTTTAATCTCCTACATACACACGTTAATGCATTGCTTTACTATTGTGGAGACTTTATTTCAACAATGAGCATATATCTTTTTAAAGCCAAACAACCATTTGTTGATATTGTGAAATCATTATTTTTATGCAGTTATATGGTATCTATCTCAACGAAATTAAATGCTACCCCAGTGCAGCTTTATATTTTTAAAGCTGTACTGGGGTGGCATTTAATTTCATTGTACGAGTAGTACAATGTACAATAAAGATTACTTTGACTTTTTGAACCCATCTTTCAAAGGCAGCAACAACATACAAGAATCAAAATCAAAAGAATACATTAATCTAATAAAACATTAAAATGACAATAAATCAGTAAGATGTTCATCTAATACATTGCCAGTATAATAAAATAGTGGAGTGACACATCAGTTTGAAGCCACTTTAAAGATGTGTGGTTTTGGAAGCCATTGCCATAACTTAGAAGGGAACTGACACATTCCTTGGGAGTGTGTCAGTTCCCTTCTAAGGGGAGGATTACATTAGGGGAGGAGTTGCTGCGAAGAAGGCCCTGCCCCTAATGTTCATCACTCTAATTATTCATTGAAAAGACGTCATCAGCAATAACCAGGTTCTGGATTCTTTAAAGAAGTTTACAGTTCTATACACACTTGGGAGTAACTTCAATTGAAATTACTTATGCATAGACATAGATCAATAATGGTGTAAATTTTTTTCTGAGATTTTATAATTTGTTTAGTAGTGTTAATCAGATGCAAAATGACAAAAACGTTGTATATGTCAAGGAATGAAAATGATAAACTCTTTAAACACTGAGCTATGGACTTTGGGAAGATATAAAAACACTTCACAGCTCCACAGGGCTGAGTACACTTGGAGGACAACCTTAACAACTTAAAGAAACTTCTCAATAGGGAATTATTCAAAATAGCCATACTTTGTAAGAGATTATAGATGGCATGCATATATTTACCCTATTCTTCCAAAGGTTTCTTGATCTTAAAGAAAACTAGACTTTAGTCTTTGTTTAAAATTCTTTAACTTATTTGTACTGACATGTTCTGACATAGTACTCCATCCATGCATGGTGACCACACCTTTTTACATATGGAGGATGCTTTTTTGTGCATGATAAGGCAGGGCTGGGCAGAGATCTCTGTCTCTGTACTGAAAATTACTAGCTTTAAACTTTTGCTTTTCTTTATAGGGTTGTTTCTATATACTCAAGTTCAGAATAGTCTGAAAGTAAAGGGGCTGATCTTATCCTTTTTTGGAACTGGATCAGTCCTTTAGGTCCAGGTTTCTAATCAAAGCTAATATCACAAGACAACAAACTGCCTGATACCTTAATATCCTGCTCTGGTTTTATTTTCTCTAGAGCAAGTACAATGCCCTGATTAAGATTAGAATCAAACATGGGACAAAGTGAGAGCCAGTTTGGTGTAGTGGCACCATAGAAGCATATGTAAAAAAATTGTCCTTAAGCATTAAGTTTCCCTTCTACCAACTCAGCTACGACACTCTTATACTACAGAAAATAAAATAAATTATAGGGCAGCCACATATTGTATGCATTGTGTACTTTGGCCCTAAGTTCTATATGTCAAGGAATGAAAATGATAAACTCTTTAAACATTGAGCTATGGCCTTTGGGAAAATAAAAAACACTTCACAGCTCCACACCGCTGAGTATACTTGGAGGACAACCTTAAAACTTTGTAGGAATCACATATCTAATGGGATGGCTAGTTGTGGAGGAGGCTTTAAGATTTCTGCCACTGAGTGACTATGATCCACCACAGAAATAAAGCACATACCTGCCATGTATGTTTGACCATAAAGCTTAAAGCACAACCAACTAACCTTTAGAAATTGAGCTGGTTTCTCTTGTAGAGCTTTTTAAAGTTACGCATTAAAAATTCCATGAACTTGCTCTGGGTGGAGAAATGGTTACCATTCTTGTTCAATTTCTTGCTTTAATCCCTGACATTAGCAAAACCTTGGAGTTTGTCATGCTTACTCAGATGGAAATCCCATAATTTAAGTGACATTCGTTGCTGGACAGGTGTGCTTCATGTTGAAGTTTGCATTCTGATGACTTAGCTGGCTTCTGAATGGGCACGTGGCAATGGATTTCTATAATTTGCATTTTTCAGTCTGTGTATAGTTATTAGCTCTGGAAGTATCATTACTCAGCTTGGTGAAATTAACTATTTCTTTCCTAAAATCCCTGTGGCCTTTTACCTCAGAAAGGAAGGTTCTCTTTCTCTTCAATTCCACTGGCAAACACCACCACCACCCTCAAAATCCCTTCTCCATCTCCTTTACCCAATCTTTTTGTGTTCTTCTTCAAATAAAGGGCAAAATCCCTCTCTTTCCCTCTCCCTCATAATCTCCAGTTGCTAGGTCATTCTTTTGGAAAAGAAATGGCTATTCTGGCCAAAATGAGCAATAGTATCTCTGAGTGTTTCTTTTTTTATTCTCCCTCAAGTCATCTCTCTTTTTTGCTTCCATTCTTTTCCTTCCCTCACTTTGAGCAGCCCTTCCTACCTTCCCAAATTATACTTTATTTCACTAACAACTCTCGTACATGCATACGACTGCACTAGCATAGGTACCAATCCATCCAAAAGGTGGTAGAAGAATTGAATGTGAGAGTATTTGGCACATGATAGGCCACAGTTTGGTTCTAAACGTGGCCTGTACATCAGAAAGTAGGATTTGGAGCTTGTGATAAATTTGTCCTGCTTCTTCAGGCCTGTTGTTGCTGTCCCACCTTTATGTGACTCATAGTTTGAACAAGCAAAGGGACAACATGTGACAAATGTACTGGGAAATCATCTGATGTCTGCATGAAACCTTGTTGATTTAATCGGGAACTGACTTTTGAGTAAAGATGCATAGGATTGCACTGTTCATTTTATTGGGTTCTATTAAAAATTAAGGTAAATAACATCCAATTCTATGTATATTTACTTGGAAATCGTCTATAATTCAATCTGTTCCTTTTCAAGTTAAATTTGAAAGTGGGCCTCAAAACACTATTGGGGCTAAGTATCACTGTATATTGAATCACACCAATATATCATTTCCAACAGCAGAGTGTGCTGATAATGAAGAAAAAGTACAGAGATAATTTTTCACTGGTTTAGTGTTTGCTTCTACTGTACTCTACTGAAATGTCATGTTACCAGGAGTTATGCAAAAGAGGCCTTGCAAATAGAATGCATTTGAAATATCTGATTGACTGAAAAAGAGGATATAAAATTGGTTGTTTTTTCCCCTAGAAATCTGTTTACTAACTTTAAAATCTCTTTACAGGCTTTAGAGAAAAACCAGCAGTGGCTAATATATGACCAGCAACGGGAGGCTTATGTTCAGAGTCTCTTAGCAAGGATTTTTGAACTTGAGCAGCAGCTAGAAACTGTTAATCAACAGCAAGCAAAAGAAGGTAGGGCAGAAGGTATTGACTGATTATTCTACAAACTGCATAGAGCCCAAAAGTTAACTTATATTGATCAGATTTCCATATATTGGTCAACACATTACAGCTGTAAGAACAGCTCTTCTGACATATATATTTGCTCCGCAGTAATTTGGGGAGGGGAGGGGGAGAAAATGCATTCTGATCATTGCTTAGATCCCAGACTCCCAACTGTATACATAGGAGAAGATGATTGGTGATCTGGTCTGGCATATGAAACTTGCTTTTTGGATGTTAATTTAAAATGTATATCGTTCAGATTGAATCTACAGTATTTCCGAGAACAATGTTCATAGAAGAAAGATGCAGACAAGACTTTTTGATATCAAGTTTTACAGTTTGTTTGCTTCTGCAAATTTTTCTGCTATTAAATATTTGTTTTGTGCCTGAATAGCTATTAGTATTACATTTGTATAGTATTACATCTGTATGCCTACAGATTCTCCTTCACTGGCAGTATTCAAGCAGAAGCTCAGAAATCTTTAGCCAGGAATGTTGTAATTCATCCTACATTGCAGATTCTTAATTGAGCAGAGATTGGACTACATGACATCTGTAATGCAAAAATGTCAAGGAACACCTGGCATCTGTCCAGTTTAGAGCTGCTGCCTCAGGCCTCCCAGTAGCATGGTCTGTAAGAATTAATACGTACTGTTTCCACCAAGGTGCTTGGGTTGGGTTGGATTCGGTTGGATAGGCCCCATGAAGTCTAATGTCACTTTCTGAGATGGAATTTCTAAGACAGGTAATGTTCTTGCTGTTCCCCATCCTCTGCCAAGTGTCATTGTGATCTGACATACAGTGGGGCAAAAAAGTATTTAGTCAGCCACCAATTGTGCATGTTCTCCCACTTAAAAAGATGAGAGAGGCCTGTAATTTTCATCATAGGTATACCTCAACTATGAGAGACAAAAGGAGACAAAAAATCCAGAAAATCACATTGTCTGATTTTTAAAGAATTTATTTGCAAATCATGGTGGAAAATAAGTATTTGGTCACCTACAAACAAGCAAGATGTCTGGCTCTCACAGACCTGTAACTACTTCTTTAAGAGGCTCCTCTGTCCTCCACTCGTTACCTGTAGTAATGGCACCTGTTTGACCTTGTTATCAGTATAAAAGACACCTGTCCACAACCTCAAACAGTCACACTCCAAACTCCACTATGGTCAAGACCAAAGAGCTGTTGAAGGACACCAGAAACAAAATTGTGGACCCGCACCAGCCTGGGAAGACTGAATCTGCAATAGGCAAGCAGCTTGGTGTGAAGAAATCAACTGTGGGAGCAATAATTAGAAAATGGAAGACATACAAGACCACTGATAATCTCCCTTGATCTGGGGCTCCACGCAAGATCTCACCCCGTGGGGTCATACAGTGAGGCAAAAAAGTATTTAGTCAGCCACCAATTGTGCAAGTTCTCCCACTTAAAAAGATGAGAGAGGCCTGTAATTTTCATCATAGGATACAGTGAGGCAAAAAAGTATTTAGTCAGCCACCAATTGTGCAAGTTCTCCCACTTAAAAAGATGAGAGAGGCCTGTAATTTTCATCATAGGATACAGTGAGGCAAAAAAGTATTTAGTCAGCCACCAATTGTGCAAGTTCTCCCACTTAAAAAGATGAGAGAGGCCTGTAATTTTCATCATAGCTATGATGAAAATTACAGGCCTCTCTCATCTTTTTAAGTGGGAGAACTTGCACAATTGGTGGCTGACTAAATACTTTTTTGCCTCACTGTATTCAGTTGCATCCCGGCCATATCCAGTCCATAGTTTTTCTTTGCTTATAGCTATCCCATATGTCTATTTGGGTGGTCATGTGCCAAGCTTAAGATACACCTATAAAACTTGTTAGGCACAGCTAGCTGTCTCTGGACCTTGCATCTCTCCCTGTGACTTTTTGGAAAATATTCGTGACACAATAGTTCTTTTAATGAACCTGGAGTTCTGAGCCTTGTTGGGAGAACTGAGGTTCGTTCTACCTCCTCTCAGATCTTGAACAGGTTCTGATTCTCCTCTTGCTCTCTCTTGAACTCTTCTAAATTGCTCCTAAGGACTCCTGCTTTTCCTTTTTTTTTTTTTTTTTATTGAGATTTTAAAGATACATATTTAAACGTTAGAAATGAAAAGGAAAATTTGAAATACAAAATATAAAGAAAAAGAAAAGAAAAAGAAGTAAAAGAAGAAAAGATATGAAAAATAGATAACTTCC